TCTGGTAGAGGACCCGAGCTCAGAGGATGAAAGAGACCACCCACGGAGGGTGAGAGGGAATTTTTTTTTTTTTTATATATGACAGAGAGAGATAACATATTCTCCACATAATTTTGAAATCAGCAAATATTTTGTCAAGTGAGGTGATCAGAACCGTCGGGATTAAATGTCAAAATTGTTTTACAGTTTTATGTTTTTAGACTTGAAGCTTATTTTGCACCATTAAGTGATCACTGTGGTAGATTAGCTACTGCTGTATAGCAAATCTAACACAGCGGTGGTAGATCAGCTTATTTAAGCATCTCCTCTACTGATCTGTAAAAGTTGGTGTGTAGGTCACCTTTTTTTTTTTTTTTTTATAAAACTGAATGGAAACGCACCAAATTCCACATCACAATGACATGTTACGGTTTTAAAAGTCAAGCAATCATAAGTGAATTACTTCACTCTTCCTCAGTATTTTTCTTTTTAGTAAAACTTTTCCCGGACCTTGTTATCCAGTTGCTGTAGTGTTGTCAATTAGTAGCAAAGCACTACCCTTTTTTATTTTACATATGTTATGAACATTTAAGATTTAGCATGCAATAGTGACAACTTGACAGTGAAAACCAATGGTAGGGATCATCGCCAATAGGATTTTTGCCCTCCAACAGTGGCTCTCTAGAGGCAGCACATCCCTCTATATGTACCATATTGTCTGCAGTAAATGAAAACGTTTTGAAATCAGGAAATATTTCTTCAGTGATCAAAAGTCGTCAAAACTCTGTAAACGAGGAGTTTTCTTATAGCAGCTGCCTGCCAAGATGGCTGTCAGTTACAAAATTAACAGAGGTGTGATGTCACATGACATGTATTGCTCTGGGCCCTTGTTAAGGGGAAATGCTACCCATTTGATAAATCACTGCTCTTAACAATCCCAGCATGCATCTTTTCTTAATTCCATGCACTTGTATGAAGCAGCTTACCCAATGGCGATGATCTGGCCGACTTCCAGCGTGATGTCATTAAGCTGGGCAATAAAGACGACAGCGACCACTTCATAGAATGCCATTCCAGTCCTATTGATGCTGGTGACGATGGGCAACATAAGGCGGCAGAGTTTCTTATCAACCTTCACGTTCTCTTCACAGCATTGCAAGGTGACAGGCAGAGTGGCGGCACTTTGGTAGAAAGCACATCCTTTATTGGTGCACCGTTCATACGAGGAAACTGGAAAAGTGTCATACTTTTTCAACAAAGAGAACATTTAACCTGGATGCAATGATAAATGCTGTCGTCAAAGCCCTAGAGATGTGCTTGAAGATAAGAAAAGGGTTCCGTCTGGTGAGAATGAAGTAAATCACGGGGAAAAGAACGAAGGCTTGGATTGCTAACCTGAACAACACAACAAAGTCACACTTTGTGTTAAAGATGCATTACGTATTCACTGGTTGTTAAAGATTTATTCATATATTCATACCTCTTTAGACATTTTGTCATTGTAAAACCTGACAGATCAATGTGGTTGGGGGGATTTTATATGATTTTCTAACAAAGTAGTGCATCACTGTAAAGTGAAATGAAAATTATGGTAACACTTTATTTGACGGGGTGTGAATAGGACTGTCATAAACATGACATAACACCTATCATGAACATGAGTCAGTCTTCATAAATATTTATGACGGTTTTCAAAGTGTCATTCGGTAAATGATGATACTTTTAATACAAAGTTGACATTATTAAAAGTGTCTTTATGACAACTTGACATTAACAAAGAATCATCATATGTCATAATAGTAGTTATAATGTCATTGTTATTACACTGTCAAAATCTAACAAAACACTTAATATTTCCTCTACCTGAAATAAGGCAAAACAAGTAGGACCAACAATAAAGACATCATTAAGCTTTATTACACTGTCAAATGATTTAGTCATTAATAATTCCTTTTACATCAAGTGGAACAAGTAGCACCAGTTAGGAAGATGTCATTAAGTGTTATTGCAGTGTCAATCTTATCTCAAGTAAAGTGAAACACGTAACAACAGTTCTGAAAATGTCATTGAGTATTAAAACAGTGTCATATGCTATGCTAACAGTCATTAATATTAACTTTTACCTCAAGTTTTGTTCATAGCTGTAGAACAAAATCTTTGTACAGTGGAATAAAACAAAAGATTACTTGTTCCTCAAACAGAGGGTTTTAATTCTGGCAAGTATATTGTAACTCTGATTAAAAACTAAAATATAATGACTTATTATTTAACTTAAGAAAATAGGTTCTTTCAGCTGTCAGCCATTTCCTTCGTTATAGCGTTCCTGTAACGCTTGGAAAACAGGGAGATCTTCTTGTCTTCATTTCCTGGAAGCAGCTCTTTGAAAGTGTCCAGAAATGCTAAGAAATTATAGTTGTTCTTGCAATAGTTGTGGTCAGTGTTGATCATGGTGAAAGCCTTTTTATGAATTCTAACTTGGTGAATCTCTTCTGGACATTCTCATAGCAGGTGATGACTCAATTCAATGTGGTCACCTAAAAAGACGGCAAAGCAAACAACACAAGCACTGTGTCACATCAGCCAAGTTGCTAAATAATGCACATAAAGGATAACTTTGACTAACATATTAGCTTTTAATTTGCTAGATTAAATTTGGAGGTAAAAAATCTATTTGTCTGCCTTTAAAATACAGGGCTAACCTTACAGTTATGGAGTTTAATAACTTTAGCTAACATTAACTTACAGCAGGTTTAAATTGCTCGTAGCTAACATTACAAAGAAAGAGAACACAGTCAATGTTATTTTCTCAAAGAAAATGTAAAGTTAATAAGACACATACCTCATAACAGGAGGTCTGGCCGTTATAACTTGTGTTAGGTTGTCCCCACAAGATGGAAAATTTCTTCTTCACCAACACACTGCACTTCGTACACTGCTGCCTTTCACTGGTGGAGATGGTGTATTGCACTACTATAAACAGCCTTAAGTAATGTTTCAAATGCAAAGTTCATAAGTGCTTTGTAGACATCTTGCTGTAAAACTTTAGGATCAATTAAATTGAGAAATTTAAGACTAAACAAAATGACAGAGCAATATAATATTACCACATAAAGCTACATAATTTTTAAAGTTTAATCAGAAATGTTTTTATAACAAATGTCAGATCATGATTTCTTGAAAATAATTAAAATACATGCTTGCACAGTAACATCCATGAAGATGTTTGTGCATTTCTATTCACCCTCAATGAATCCCTACTTTGTAGATAAACATTTTGCTACAGCTCCACCTGCAGGCTGTTGGGTCATGTTTCAACCAGCTTTGCTCATTCATACAAACATTTGTCACATTCTTCTCTACAAAATAGCACAAGCTAAGATTTAATGGAGAGTGTAAACACACGGCTTCTTGCCACATATTATCAAATGAATATAGGTCTGGACTTTGTCTATTCCATTCTAACACATGAATAAGCTTTGACCTTAACCAGCGGTCTCAAACTCCAGTCCTTGAGCGCCAGTGTACTGGAACCTTTAGATGTTTCTCTGAACCTACAAACTTCTATGAAATGGCTAAACTTCATCTCCAGCATTCAGTCAAGATCTGCAGAAATCTGCTAATAAGACTGTAGTGGAGCTAGGGTGTGCTAAAGCAAAGAAACATCTATAAGTTTCAGGAAACCGACTCTTGAGGAGTGTAGCTTGAGACAACTGATCTAAACCATTCCATGCTCTCTTTAGTTGAAGGTTTAGATTCACTATGCTGAAGGAAGATGGACCTCGTTGCAGTCTAAAGTATTTTGCTGCCTCTAACATACTGTATTTTCTCCCAGGATTGATCTGTATGAAGCTCAAACTCTAACCTTCTTCCTTTTTCTTATCTGAAAGCTTGGTATATTGTTTTAGAAATTAACTCTGATTTAAACTTCTCCAGAACTTCCTCTCTGATGTGTCTGCTGAGTTTCTTGGCCTTCATGATGCTGTTTGTTCACTAATGTTCTCTAACAAACCTGTGAGGCTAAAGAGAACTTCTGAAGGGAAATGCTTGAACTGGACCAGATTTTTGGAGGAATCAGAGCAGGGGCACGGTGAAAAGTGATGACGATTCTAGGGGCCCTGACCAGCAGGGGGCCCTCCACAATTTAATTATTTATATTTTGTTCATAGACATAAAATTAAAAAAATCGGGGTCCTGTCAAATAAAACATTAATCATATTGTATTTTCAAAGATTGTTTTTAGCAGTAAAAATTTTATGTTTCCCCTCCCAGACCAAAAAACACACATCCGTTTTTGCCCTGAACTCCCCCCTCAATCTGCATGAAACGGTTCGTTCCTGCTTAGAGCTTAACAGTGACTATGCAGCTGCGGTCAGTAGAGGCTGCAGCTGAATGCTCCTGCGACTGTGGCATTTACTGTGCTGCTAAGAAAAGTTATAAAATCAGGTTTTCAAAAACAAAATAGAGAGGGAGAGAGAGAAAAAAAGGCAAGAGTGTTAATTTATAACCCAGTTTTTCTCCATGAGAGGTGAGTAGATTGTGTGAAATTATCAACCATTTAGCATAATTAGCTTAGCTACAGACTACTGTTTGCCTCCATTTCACTAGCATTTAATGAATTAAGAAAAAAAATTGCTAACATATTCATATATTTAACTTGTTCCCTGTGCCTTTTACCACTTAAGAGATGAGTCAGTCAGCAGCAGCTCTAATGTCCCTCCTGGCATGTTCTCTCCTGAGTGAAATTAAAGCTGCAGTATATCATTTTTATATAAATATTTTTTCACATATTTTTTAAAACTGTCATTATGTTGTGACAGTATGGTATAAGAGGTAATCCGTGAAAAATCTATTTCCTCTGCCTTCTCCAAGTGTTAGAAACAACCAGTCAGTGGCAAGAGAGCTTTAGTGCTGTCAATCATAATTTCATATGATGCTGCTCATTCTTCTTCCCCCTCAATTTGTGCCATGCTGCAGCTAGCATAGCACATAGCTGTGCAGATTCAAACTGTGAATGCTCAGTTTAGTTAGCACAGCTACCAGTGACAGCAGATAAACAGTTTCTTGTAATGATAAGTCGTTTCTCCCCCATTAGCACATATAGCAGTGAGTGAACGAGGCTAACTGACAGTGCTAAGAGCGTCCTTCTTGTTCTGATTGGTTGTTTTGGTCAGAACGGTGCATTACTTTGACCAGTAATAGTAATTCAGGGAGGAGATGGAGGAGATTGATTGTTTTCACAAATATGGAGAAAACTTACTTTTTATTAAAGTTATGTATTGAAGCTTGAAAAAAATGCAACTACATAGCATTTTTGAGAAGTCTGGATTGCTTTATGTGTATTTTGCACGTTGCTTTTGACTGTTGCTCATGGGGAGACATTTCAGTATCTAAAACTAATAGAAAAAATTTAAGCAACCTACTTGCATACTGGATGTGGACTGGTGGATGTTAAATTCATGAGCAGTAAACATTGTGGTAGTTATCAGTATTGAACTAAAGAAAGCAATGCAGATGCAAGCCTTTAAAATTGTCACGCTTTTTATAGAGTCAGAAAATTGTAACAGCAGCTGTGCAGAGGGTCCCAATCAAATTTTTTGTCAGGGGGCCCACGATTTCTGGCAGCGCCCCTGAATCAGAGTAAAGAGGCTGACAATAATTGCATTGATGAAAACTGATCTCTAAACATCAAAGAGGAAAATCTCAGTAAAATCTGTAAAACTGTTCTGTAAATATATTCATAGCACAGTTTTCTTCTCCTGTCACTCAGGTAGAGTTCAGTGCTGCTACCTCAGAGCAGTGATATCAATTTGGTAACAAAGATGAAAAAGAAAAGATATTTGGACATACCCTGCAAAAACCACTCCTACGAGCTTTGTGAGCTTAAGGACAGCGCGCCAGTCTGTAATCCCCAACACATGTTCTGTGATCAGGAACATAACTCCGATTGGCAAGTACCTGAAACAAAAAAAAACACAAAAAAAAACAAGGTTTATTAAAAAGGTTGTTCCAAATATATTTTAAGTTAACTGTTAAGAGTGGAAGCACCTGTCCTATGTAAATAGAACTGAATATGCAAAAGAAATGACATCTGCTCAGATACTGTCTGATCTTACCACAAAATCCAGTTGACTATGATTTTTATGGCATCGTTGAGGCATTGAATGGCCTCCACAGTGATTCTTGCCTCCTGTCCCACCCTGTTTAACAGGATACCGATGGCGAATGACCAGATGACCAGTCCTAACATGTTGGGTCCTTCAACATACCTGCCTACTAGTTTCATCTCAGTTCCATTCTGCACAAAAAACACAAGTATGGCGGCTCCAGCTCTCTGACAACAATATTGTAGGATTACATCACCTTGTTGGACAATGCATTTCACTTTTTCATAAGTCAACATACAACCATTGATTTTAATGCATTTAATGTGCATTTATCTTGTAAAAGACCACTCTAAGGCACAAATTCAAGTGTCAAACTCTTCACACACAAAAATAATAAACATAAGCGAAATGGAGCCAAATTGAAAGTAAAGGAATGAACCAGCAAGGAGTGAGTGAGAAAGAGGTGTTTCACTACTGTTAGGTTGAATGCTGAACAAAGATTTGGGCTAATGAGCGGCAGGGCTGAGGAGAAAGAGAGAGAAAGAAGAAGTGGCACAAGGGACAAGGGAGAGAAGACTTTGGACTAGGAAATGAATCTAACAAAAATAATTAGACATAAGAAACATAATGAAAACTAGAGTAACTAAACTAACTAAAAGACAAGACAGAAAAAACTAGAATCACTAAGAAAATTTACAGAAACAGGGCAGAACGAAGTAAGTAAAGAATACAAATAATGACAAAACTAAAAACAAACTCAAAAAACCCAAGATCTAAGCTCTAATAGTATAGAGCTATTAGTGTTTGCATTGTTGCTTGTCCTATGTCTTAACTACGGCACACCTTACTGTCACATTGGCAAACACCACCTCCCCATTCAGGCTTTAAATTGGAAGAAACTCAAGGCCATTCTTTTTCTTCCTCTTCAATTTGAAGTTTGTGGCTGTAAAATGACGATTCTAGAATGAAAAAAAAAGATCAGAAGAAAAAACTCACCAGTTTTGGATCAAGGGAGAGGCCAGGTTTTGTTTTAACCTGAATAATCTCAGTCTCGTACTGAGAGAAAAAAATAATTTGTGTTACATTTCCAAACCCCAAATAGGAAATTACATAGTAAGCTGTGGGCTAGAATAAAAGCATACCTGCTCGTAGAAGGCCTGAAAGAAGCTCTCTGGAACCATATTCCTATGCAAGTAACAGGAGAGTCAGAAAAAACTAAGCTTGTAAATGTTAGAGACAAAAAAACATGCAGATGTTATTTTACCCAGAGATTTCACAAAAACTTAGTGTCATGGTGTGGTGTGGCGGTGGACTCAAACGCAGCAGACAGTAGATGTAGAAATAAGTGGATGTAGTGATGGGTCCGGTGTTGCATCAGTCCGGGTTTCCCCATCAGATACGGTTCCCCCTGCGTCTTTTTGCCGCCCCGCCCACGCGGCAAAATAACTAATTATTATTAGTTTCACGCAAAAACATGAAGAAAGTGTGAACTATATTGAAATAATAATATATATTATATAATATATATAATAATTATTATTAGTTTCACGCAAAAACGTGAAGAAAGTGTGAACTTTGCCGAAGCATGTTGTTTGAGCTTTCATGGTATCAACATATATTAACATAACATATATAACGTATATGTTATATATATTATAATGTAGGTAGATAGATAGATAGATAGATAGATAGATAGATAGATAGATAGATAGATAGATAGATAGATAGATAGATA